AAATCTGTTGCGTCAGATGGGGCGACGCCCACACGCGCGCGCATTCGCGGGTGCATGCAGGAATCGAATAACAACCGCAGGTGTCGCAGCGATATCGAGTGGCCCGACAGCAATTCAAAGGCAAATTTCAACCAAAATTTGGCACGCGCGTTCCCGTGAAAACAAATATTCGAAATGTTCGACATGGTCATCACATGCGACCACGCGCGCTTCTCGCGGGCGCATGTCGACATCATTCGAAGCCCTGGCGCGCGCGCATCGGGGAGCGCGGGGCGAGGGGGGGGCGCGATCCCGTTCCAAGAATGCAACGCGGGCAGCTCGTGCGCGTCGACCGCGCGCGCGTCAAAATCCTTCCAGAACCTTCATCGCCGGCGCGTGGACACCGTCATCGTCGTCGGCGTGATCAGTATCGGCGCCGCCAGTGGCCTTGTCGTCATCAGTATCACCATCGCCACCAGCATCGCCACTTGCATCATCGCGTCTGGCGTTGTCGACGTCGCCGTAATACCGCGCCCGCCAGAGCCGCCCGCTCGCACTGATGCGCCCGTGCGCCAGCGCGGCTTGCGAGACGGGCCAGGAGTTGCCCAGCGGACAGCGCCGCTGCGGCCGCGTCGGTCGCGCCAGACTAGCTGGCCACTCTGCGCGCGATCCCGCGCGCGCCAGCGCTGCCGCAGCGTCGCGCCTTCCAGCGCCGAGCAATCATCGCGATCTCCGCTGCCTGGGTTTTGCAAACCAAGTTGCGGGTGGGCAGATGGGACGCATGCGTGGGAGGCGGTCGCGCGCGGCGCAGGGTAGCCAATTGCATCGTATAGAGAGCGCCAGAAATATTGCACCTCATAGATTGCACAACATAGCTTGCATACCATTGACTCTCCACTGTTGGAAGAATTTAGATTCTCACTCACCCCCTAGCTTACACGCTGCCTTTTTTTCTGAATCGCAAGTTACATCTGATTCTGCCTCTTTCATGTTCCATGCGAAGTCATATTGCCCCAGCCAGTTCAGCATCGACTGGCCCAGGCATCCCAGGCATCAGGAGTTTTGGCGCGCACCGTCGCTTAAGAAACCATAGATCTGCAAAGCAAAAACAGTTTGCGACAGATGGGGCGACGGCCACGCGCGCGCGTCGTCGCGCGCGCATGCCGGAATCGGTCCAAAACCTGCGGCTTCGTGGGCATTTCAATATCGAGTGCCCCGATAACATATTTGAATTCATACCACCCCAGCCACGCCAGTGCCAATTGGCCCCGTCATCCCCGGCAAGCGTATCACGCGCGGGCAAGCGCTGGTGAATAAAAACAGATGTCCAAGACTCCCTTTCAACAGATGAGACAACGTGCGCACGCGCATGCACTCCAAAGTCGTTCAAAACAATTTTTAGGACACGCAAGAATGTCAGAGTCGAGTACCCCGAAAACATATACACGCATTAGTTCGCAGCATGACGTTTCGCCCGCGCGCGCGTGCAAGGGGGGAGGGGGGGGGCGCGATTCTTGTTTCATAGTACCATGCGGGCCACTCGAGCCCGTCGGCCGAGCGGGCATGTCAAAAACCAGCCAAACCCTTCATCGCCGACGTGAGGACACCGTCACCGTCATCGGCGTGATCAGCATCGGCGCCGTCATTGGCCTCGCCGTCGTCATCGTCGCGTCTGCCGTCGTCGGCGTCGCAATGATACTGCGCGCCCGCCCGAGCCACCGACTCGAATTGACTTGCCCGCGCGTCAGCGCAGACTGCGAGACGCGCCGGCAAGTCCCCAGCGGCCAGCGCCGCCGCGGCCGCGGCGACGCGCCAGCCAGCGCCAAGCAGCCCAATCAATGCCGCGTGGGTTTTGCAAACCAAGTCGCGGGTCGGCGGGCGAGATGATTGCGCGAGCAGTAAAGTTGACTGCGCCATTTAGCCTGCCTCACATAGCTGGCACATGACATAGCGCTTCGCATCGATTGCGCCTGCGCAGCAAGGGTTACCCCGCATAGAGCGCGCAGATTGCGTCGCGCCTCGCAGATTGGACCGCGTAGATTGCACCGCGTATAGTTCCCAGAAACACATTGTTTGGGGCTCGCGCTGGCCGATGCATTTCCAAGGAGCTCGCGCGAAGAAGGGCGACGCCATCGAGCGCCTGCCGCGGGGGCGCGGAGACACGCAGCATCGCCGACGCGGCGGGGCCTTGACAGCGAGGCGCATCACGACGCGGGACAGGGAAAGCAGGCAATGACTTCATGGCTGGCAGCAAAGACACGCGAAACGCCCCTGGCTCGGGCAGGCGCGCGGGCCCCCGCGCAGCGCTCAGCCAGCGCGCGAGCGACCCCGCCGACGTCGGGCTCCTCGACGCGCGGAGGCCCGAGAGCCCCGCAATGATCGGCGCCCAGACACAGGGATAGCGGCGCAAAATCGTTCGGATGAGTGAGTTTTTCGAACGAACCAGCAGTCTTCATGCTAACTTTCTACGAAGCGGCGCGGGAATGTATTTGGAGAGCATTGGGGCACGCAAGCCAGTCGCTGATCGCGAGCTGGAAGATCATACGAGGAGACGCCGCACTCGTTGCCTCCACGGTCGATCCACTGCACATCCTGCTGATAGAGAACGACGAGACGATCGCGAAGGAAGTTCACTTGGAAGACAACGAGGCGCCAGACAAGGCCCTGGAGACATACGAGTACAAAGAGAACCGCACAAAGGCGCCCCTACTTCACATCAAGAAGGACCGCCAGAGACTTCATAATGACGAGGACATCGCGGGCGCAGTCCTGATGGAGCTGAAACGCGCGGGGACGCGGCTTGGGCGACTGGCTCAATTTCGAGAGCGCGACGCGAACGAGTCAGAGCTATTGCAGCGGCGCGGCACAGATCCCGAGGCATGTGATTCGTCGAGAAACCCAACTCTAGCGCGCGTTGTTCTGCTCGCCGGCATGCGCATCGGGCCTGAGCGGCATGGAGTGCCAAGCAACGCAGGCAACCGAATACGAGGCATCGGATCGAGCTACAAGCAAGAAGCAACGAGCAATGGCGCTGGAGGGGCAACGGACTCAAACAGATAAGAAGACCACGGACAAGTACAACAACGAGTTTGGGCCACAAGGTGAAGGCGCCACTGAAACATATCGAGGTGGAGGAGAACAACGAAGTGGAGCCGAATGACAAACGAAAACAAACAAGGACACCGCGACATACATGTCCACGGGCACGGCGGACGTCGTCAGAGAGTGGAGAGTAGGACCGTCAGCGATGGAGATGGCAGTCAGAAGGCTGGGGCGGTGGCAAGATCTCATCGAGCACCAGGGGGGGCGACCACGTCCTCGCCGTGTTTTTCGGCACCGCGAAGTTCGTGCAGGACGTGAGCACGATCAATAATGCACTTATCCAAGCGGGCATGACGGTCGAAGGCCAGCCAAGGGCCAGCCGATGACCGTTGGCCCGAGAGCACTCCGAGCAGCGCACGCAGAGCGAACGAACGCGCGAGATGCTCGACGGATTGCTGCCGAGCAGACGAAGACCGACGCGCCACAGGACGAGTAGTTCCCGCGCGCGTGCGAGTTGAAGAACAACGAGGGCCCCGAGGGCAGGGCCAGGTGCGTGAGCTACCGCTCCCTGTACACGCGCTAGACGTCGTCGAGGGCTGAAGGGCGCGGACTGAGACGCTTGCCTGCCGCTCTCACGACGACGAATCAACGCGCTCTGCGCGGCGCGACCTTGACCGGCAAGGCACAAGCCGCAGCGCGCCTCATAGCAGCGAAAAAAGCAGAATATGCATTGCAGACAAAGCCCGCATGGCCCATGGGTTAAAGGCAATTCCCATGGCCGAGTGCCCGCGATGCGCCAGGGCCCCAGGCCCAAACGTCGAGATCCGCACCCACCGCGTCCGACACCTCCCCGGCAGCACTAGCCAGCAGCACGATCTTTGGTTCAATGCATCGCCCGAGGAGGGGGCGGCGCTCCAACGGACCGAACGCGAAGAGGTAAAATTCTGGCGACAGCAGCAAGGGGAGCGCGGACAACCCGAATGGCGAGAACGAGGGTGGCCGCAGACCGCAGTTGAGAAGGCATGATGGGGGGTGGGGGGCAGCACATAATCTTGGGAAGATACCAGACGGAACTGCGAAGCTGCTCGAGGTCGCGCGCAATATGCAGCTCATCCACGAGAGGGACATGAGGGACGTCAGGGGCTGCGTCTGCGATGCCTTCATGATCCCGTCGAAGACCAATGCCGCGGAGAAGCCAAAGGCAGCGGGAAAGGCGCACAGTGGGGCGCTAAAAGAGGACCGACAGGGATACGGACTGAACGGACCAACAGTGGCATTCATTATGGCGGCAATCGAGGGCGCGCTAAAGGAGGAGGTCGGGGCAAGCAATACAAGCGCGGTCAACGATTGGATGGCCGCCAATAACCAGAGGCGCCAGAAGGAGTTCGAGGCCAACGTGGTCAGACACTGCAGGGTGATTATACCGTACGCGAAGGTCTCGCTCACGATCACGGACCCCCAGCTGAGCAGCGTGCCACGCGCCTGCTTCCACCAGCTTGGCACAGAGGGCAGGATTGGAGCGGCCCCGCCATGGCCGATGGAGGATGAATTCGCGGAGTGGCTCGAGGCGCTTGGCGTGTAAGATTTGCCTGCGGCTTGGCGCCCGAGCCTTTGGACATCTTTTGTTATGTTCTTCCCCTGCTGCCGCTGCCGCCCCTCTCTCCAATTCTCCTCCACGCTGGGAACCATTGGGCCTGCGCGCGCCTGAAGGTGCGCGGGGAATTAATATGGTTTGCTGGAGATGTTTCCATACATGTCTAGCGAGAGCGGGCTAGCGATATTCAAACGACACAGAGCTAAGCACGGATTCCAAGGGACAAAACAGCCAATCATGCATGTCTTGTTGTCATGCTTATTCACACGCTGCAAAAACAGCATCATCACCACCATCACCACCATTGTCGTTACCGTCATCGTCACTGCCATCATCATTATCAGAAGCAGGAGCATCAGCATTAGCATCGGCACCGTCGTCCGAGGCTGGGTGACGGAGATGGCGGGCGGCAAGCGCCAGCTGTCTGAGGTGGTGGAGGACCGGACCAGAGCTGAAAGCCCGCGGCCGGCCGTGGTCGCACCACAGGTGGCCCAAACAATACAGTCAAGACGCTTACATCAGGAAAAGGTTGGGTCCGGAAGGGGCTCGATGTTCCTTATTTCAAGAGCCCGACATCACTTGTTGTCTGTAGCTAGCAGTCAAGACGCTGAAATAAGGACCTTTTTGGGCTCGGTTGGTGTTTTGGTTTTCGGGCCGCTTTTTGGTCTTATTATGCTGTGGAGCCTGTTCACGGCCGAAGCCCGCCGTATCGAGAAAAGCCCTTTTGTTTCTTATTCAATCGTTTCGCTCATTCCGCCAGCCTTCATTGTCGCACCTTTGTCGCTTGCCCGAGCTACAAGGGTCTATATGCTTGAGGGGATCGCAGTATGTCGCAGTGACTGTGGAGTTGGTTTCGTTTCGGGGGTTAGTCGCAGATTCTGGCGAGGTTGTCGTCTTGGGGGTCTCTTGGGGGTCTCTTGGGGGCCTGTTGGGGCCTCTTGGGGCGCTCTTGGGGCCTCCTGGGCCCCTCTCGGGGCGGAAAGCTCGAAGTGTCCGTTCGTGGTTTCCGTTGTGGGCCCCAGTTGGGGCCATCGTGGGGCGTTCTTGGGCTTTCTGGGGCGCCTCGTGGACCGACTCGGGGCCCTTTTGGGGCTCTCTCAGGGGCCTCTTGGGCGGTCTTGAGGCGGTCCTGGAGGCCTCTGGGGCTCGCTTCAAGCGTCGGAGCCCGAAAGGGCGAGACGGGCAACACAAACTCAAAAACCTGTTTGGAAAAAGAACATTAACTTGTGTCTCCTTGGGCCCTCTTGGGAGGCCTCTTGGAACCCTCTTGTGCCGTCTTGGAGGCCTCTTGTGCCGTCTAGGGGCCATCTTGAGCGGCTTGGGGCGATCTGTAGGTGCTCGTGGGCTCCACTTGATCTCATCCTGGGGCGTTCGTGGGCCTTTTGTTGTGCGCCTCTTGGGCCCTTATTGGGCCGTATTGGGCCGTCTTGGGGCGGTCTTGGAGACCCCTTGGGCCCTGGTGGAGCGTCGGAATGTTAAAAAGGCGATAAGGCTGCAAACCTCCAAAAACCAAATGGAAAATCAATGATTTTGTCTCGTGGGGACCTCTTGGGATGCCTGTTCGGAGTCTCTCGGGCCGTCTTGGCGGCCTCTTGGGCCTTCTTGGCGGCCTCTTGGGCCGTCTTGATGCCATCTTGGGCGGCTTGGGGCGATTTGGGGACGTCTCCGGCCCCTCTTTGGGCGTTCTTGGGCCCGCGTGGCCGCCTCTTGTCGTCGCCCACGCCGCTCTGAAAATGCCGGGATCGGCCTCGGACGCTCGTTTCTCTTTTTCCCTTTCATCGGCCTCCCTCCTCTTTGCCCCCCCCCGTACATGGACATTATACTCGAACCTTGTGGCCCAAGATGCCCCCCAGACCCCCCGACATCAATTTTGATGGCGTGACGACGGGGGGGGGGCGTGAGTGGACAGAAGTATTCGAACCCCAAAGCGCCGCCTTTACTGAGATCAACATTGATGTCGGGGGCGTGGGGGTGATTTAGAATCTCCCTCGAATGTGTAAGGGTTCGAATATATTGTCCATCTACTGTCCCTCCCCCCTCCCCCTCCCGTCCTGGCTCCTTCTCTTCCTGCGGGCCTGTCCCTGGCCCCCCCCATCCCTCCCTCCCCCTCCCTCCTGCTGATCCTGCTGGGCCTGGGAGGGAACCTGGTGTTTAGTTATTCCAGCTTACACCTGCGAGCTCTGGGGGGAACCGGCACTTCTTCCGATGTACGCGCGAGCGCCTGGGACAGCTGGTAATGATGCTGATTTACACGAGAGCTCCGCGGGGAGCTGGTGCCTATTCCGAGTGAAACGAGCTCTGGGGGAGTTGGCACCACACACGCGAGCTTCAGGGGCAGCCAGTACATGTTCCGAGTGGACCACGCGAGCTCTGAGGGGAGCCAGTATTCCCCAATCAGTGCTTGCACTGAAGGGGTCCTCGCGGGTGTTGCTAGAGTTGGCGGAAATGCCTCGCCGATTTTGGTGGCACGCTGGGTTCGCGGGTTCCCGGTTCCGGGTTCCCGGGTTCCCGGGTTCATGGTCATTGGTTCCAGGCCGATGGTTCATTACCGATCTCATTGTCGAGTTCATTACGGATCTCATTGGTTCCCGGGTTACCGGTTCTGGGTTCCCAGATTCTTGATCATTGATTCCGGGCCGATGGTTAATTATCGATATCACTACCGATCTCACTGTCGAGTTCATTACGGATCTCATTCAGTGTTCCCCAATCAGTGCTCGCACTGAAGGGGTCCTCGCGGATGTTTCCCCAATCAGTGCTTGCACTGAAGGGGTCCTGGTGGATGTTGCTAGAGTTGGCGAAAGTGCCTCGCCGATTTTGATGGCACGCTGGGTTCGCGGGTTCCCGGTTCCGGGTTCCCGGGTTCCCAGGTTCGCCGATGGGTCATTACCGATCTCATTGTCGAGTTCATAATACGGATCTCATTGGTTCCCGGGTTCCCCGTTCCGGGTTCTTGGGTTCTTGATCATTGGTTCCGGGCCGATGGTTGATTATCGATCTCATTACCGATCTCACTGTCGAGTTCATTGCGGATCTCATTCAATGTTCCCCAATCAGTGCTCGCTTTGAAGGGGCCTTCGCGGATGTTGACGGATTTGGCGAAAGTGCCCCGCCGATTTTGGTCGCACGCGAAGTTCCCGGGTTCCCAGGTTCCCAGTTCCGGGTTCCCGGGTTCGCGGTTCCGGGTTCCGGGCCGATTTCGGAGCGCGGCGAGGTTCCCCGGTTTTTGGTCGATCTTTTTAACGATCGGTCTCACCATCGATCTCATTACCGGCTTCTCGATCGATCTCACAATCGATCTCAGCATCAATCTCACAAGCGATCTCTTAAGAGATCGCATGAGCGATCTCGCGATCGATCTCATTATCGATCTCACAATCGATCTCAAGATCCATAGTATCAATTTTCAAATCATCCACTGATTGGGGTTTCCTCAGGTGTAATGTATTCTGATGTGCGAGAGGTCTGCGGGGAGCCGGTAGTGATCCCAATTTGCGCATGCGAACACCAGGAGAGGCGGTGGTGCTTATTGAGCCCCAGAGAAGAGGTGCCAGGATTCCCAGGGTGGCCTACAGAGAGCAGGCCCCCCAACACACAACCAATTCAAGCTCGCGCGGCGTTTTTGCAGGCATTTGGCGCGTTTTCGGTAGACAGTGATTGGAGGGCACTGCGTATGTCGCATAGCCCTTGCAGTCCGACGCCGATTCCTTGGAGATAGAGTTTGTGCTAGTGTTGGGGCTGGTGGAGACTGAAGCGACCCCTGATCAATAGCACGTGCTTCGCATACAGAACACTCAAATATTATCCGTGTGAAATGAACATTCCCTCCAGCCTCGGCATCACATTTCATCATGTCTAATTCGTGGCCAGAACGGCATACGACCGGAAGCAGAAAGGAATGCGTCCACAGGGCCAAAAGAGGCTCAGGGGCAAGCTGCTGTTGCTGCTGCCTGCCGCTGGCTGCCTGCTGGATGGCCCTCCGGATGAGAGCTTGGAGTCAGCCGTCCCCGCGATCCCGGGGACACCCGTCGCCAGATTCCCAGGGACTCCGCCGGACCTCTCCAGGGGTGCGTTTTGACCCGGGTTGCGAGTGGAACCCAGCTATGGCGACGATAATCTTCCAGGAGGACCAAGGAGTGCGAAGAACGTCGCTACAGTCATGTATTCGAGTCTCGATCTTCGACCCTCCCTCTCTCCTCCTGAGGCGTGGACGGTCAGCCAGCCCACAGGAGCCGCTCGCAGACGACGCGGACGTGCAGGCGCAGGTGATACAGCCGAAGCTGAAGAATCCGATCGCGCTGCGCCCGTTCGCGGGCTCCCGAGGTGCGCATGGAGCTCCCAGTTTACCAGCTTGAAACATATCCCATCTTTGTGGTTGGCATCACCTTATCTCGGTGGGTGCCGATCTTAGGGATTCCCTCCGTTTCTGAGGACACATCTCCAAGATTGTCATCTCATTGGGCTTGCCGATCTTAGGGATGGGGATCAGTTCGAGGCTGGTTGCAAGTCCCCTGCCCGCCCTCGCGATCTTTCTCCTCCCTCTGCCCTCCTCCCCCGACCGCTTCTCGTAATGAAACAAGTCCCAAGATCGTGGGCCGTTTTCGGCCTCAGGGGGCCGTCACCGGGCCTCGGGGACTGTCCAACAGCTTCCCAGGAGGAAAAGCCAGTCCCAGGAAGGGGTTCAGATTTCCAGGGATCCACGTTAGGAGAAGGCACGACGTCGGAGGTCTGGGCCTTGCCCTCCTCACAATCCTCCTCCTTGTCGTCATCGGCACCGCCTCAGAAAGCATACGGACGCGAACAATAAGTTATCGTGATGATAATCAACCGCATCGTAACCATCTTAATATTGACGATCGACCGTGTCAGGCGGTGTCATGCAGCTTGCAGGTCCTTGTCGCAGTCATAATCATCATCAGCAGCATCATTGTCATGCATCATCACCATCATCAACATCAGCATCAGCATCATCATCATCATCATCATCATCATCATCATCATCAGCATCATCATAGTCGTCGCCGTCGTCATCGTCGTCATCATCATCGCATCCTCATCCTCATCCTCATCCCCTCCCCCTCATACCCCGACTTCTCTTCACCAGCAGAATGTGAAAGCCTGCGGAAGCAAAACAAGGGCGGCTCCGCTGGCGGGAGCTGCTGGAGGCAAAGGATGCGCACTCAAGGGATCGACCTACCCTGACTCCGGATCCGCCGTACTTGGGTTGACTATCCGATTTAGAATTGCGTCGGGCATGCACCCCACACGATGCGAAAAAGTAGGGCGGGAATGTCCACCTCAGAGAGGTAGGGCGGACATTTCCGCGATGGCCTGGCGGAAACAGCGACGGCAAAGCAGAGCGGAAACCGACACCAAAGGAGCTTGAAAGGACGAGATCGCCCAGAAAGTATGGAAGATCAAGGGTCAGGGAACGGGCAACCCGAGGAAGGTATGGCCATAGGGCATCCCGAGAAAGGCTGGGCAACCAGGCAGCCCGAGAAAGGCCGGGCAGGCCGGGCAACCCGAGGAAGGTGTGGCAGGCCGGGCAACCCGAGGAAGGCCAGGCCAGCGGGCAGCTGGGCCACCCGAGGAAAGCCTGGCAACCGGGCGGCCCGAGGAAGGCAGGGCCAGGCCAGGCAAAGGTATGTGATCGCTCTGTGTTTCATCATCGCAATTCTTGGCTTCATCCTGGCAAATCTCGTCCGATCAACAATAATTGCAAGTATCTGCCCACCACATCACCCTCCCTCTAGTCCTCATCACACTGATCATCTCATGTGTCATCAGTATCATATTCTCAGTCTTTATCAATACCACCATCATCCTTCTCATCCTCATCCTGCTCATCCTCCTCTCCTGTCCTCCTCCGCTTCCATACGCGAAAAAACGCACTAGCAGGTGGCGGCAACGATGCTCCCAGGCTGCACGCTGGGACTACAATCCAAATCCTCGCGCATGCCAAGATTCTGATGCCGCGCGCGAAGACGAGGACGGAGGAGTGGAAGCGTTTCCTTTGCGTGAGGGGCGAGGGCGGAGAACAGGGCTGGATCGCGTACCACTCCCCTTCGATGGAGGAGAACGTGACGAAGTGCCAGGTCTTCGCGACCGCCTCCGACGGCCAGCCGGGCTTGGCCTCCATCCTCGCCGGCGATGCCGACGTAACGATGTGGATGACGCCAGGAAGATCGAGCCCGTCGGGCAAGACCCTGCGGCCGGGCGACCTGGTTCAGATCAAGCGGAAGTTGACGACCAGCGGCCTCAACTTCTTCGAGCTCGCTTGCGGCTTCTGGGTCTGCGAGACCGACGACAGGGGGAGGCGTCGTGGAACTTCGCTGCATCCAGCCGCCAGTCCAATCCTCCCCCCGTCCACTCGCCTTCCTCCTGGGCCGGCGGACAAAGAATGGGTTCCCCCTCCCTGATCACCATCCCTCCCCTCCCCTCTTTACGACTCCCCATGCCCCCTCCTTTCGCATTATCTCCCCCTCCTCCACCTCCCCCTCCTTTCGCATTATCTCCCCTCCTTCGCATTATCACCACCCCTCCCTGCTCCCATCTTGCCCTCCCCTCCTCCTCCATGCCTTGTCCTTGCAAAGACCTCATCCCTGCCGCACCCCCCGGCGTGCTGGTAGGGCGGCCTTGGCGTTTCGTTTGAGATTCCCTCGCCACCTACGACCCTGAAGCTTGACATTTGCAGCAGTTTGACGGATGGAGTGCGGATCGTTTTCGAAGTGGGGTTCTCGTGTCAGCGCCGCGCACATTCGTTTGCAGCAGCTTCAAGGATGGAGAGCGGGCCGTTTTCAAAATGTGGTTCTCGCTTCAGCGCCGCGCGCACTCGCTTAAAGTTTGCAACCGTTTCGCAGATGGAGGGCGGATGGTTTTCAAAGTGTTGATCTCGCCGTAGCGCCGCGCACATTCGTTTCAAAAGTTTGCAAGAGCTTCACGGATGGATGGCGCTTATTTGTCAACATGTAGTTCTCGTCTTAGCGCCGCCCACAGTCGCCTCACTAGCTTACAACAATACCAAGGATTCGGGATGGTGTTCTGGCAAGATCTGGGAGTGTTCGGACGCAGCAGTCGCGTTACTTCGCGGTGTTGAAGTCCCGGGAATGGTTTCTTGCACAACTTTGGATTGTAAGGACGCAACAGCCACGCTGTTTCGCGAAGATGAAACGCCAGGAATATGCGTTTTGGCACGATTGGGTATTCTCAGACGGTTGTTTTCCAATGGGGCATTTCCCACAATGAAGATAATTGGTTATTGTAGGGCCCCGTGAGGAGGGAATTTGGGTCGAGGATTAATGCAACATTTTGATGCGTCTTGGGTTTACTCTGGCCCTCCTCCTCCTCATCCTCCATCAATCCCGCATATACACCCCTTCCCTTTACCCCACACCTTTCCCCTCCCCCTGCCCTCTTCTCTGCAAATCATCGGTCTTATCTCCCCATTCCCTCTCCTCCCTTCCCCTCGCCGCGCAGGAGGAAGAGGAAGAGGGAGCACTGGGAGGAGAAGGCGTCACCCCTTTTCCCGCCCCTTCCCGTGAAGGGGAGAAAAGGGGGGTGGATCGGGCTGGCTGGCGCACAGGGGGGTTCCAAAGGCTTGCGGTGGACGTCGTCGAGCGCCGAACAGAAGAGGAGCGCAGGGGATGGGGGGAGGGGGAGGTGGAGGGGGGAACGAGGGGACTGGAGGGGAAGAGGACAGAAGGGGCGGGAGGAGAGGGAGGCAAGCCAGGCGCGCGCGCCATATATGATCCCGGGTCGAGGGTTCACAGGCCACCCCTCCAGATGGGAGGGGGTGGGGGACAAAGGCGACGACGACGACGACGACGACGAGCCACTCCACACCCACAGGGGGAGGGAGAGTGTGGCACTGGCACACACCCACCACCACGCCGCACCCAAAGGGCGCCACGATCACAAGGGGGGGGGAGGGGGGGGGCATCGCGTTCGCGAGGCCTTCGCGAGGCTCACGGGCGTACCCATTCAGCGGGAGAGGGGGGGAGGGATCCCATTGGCATTGGGGGGTGGGGGAGCCCTGGATCATATATGACATCATAGCCCTCCTACCAATCCCTTGCCATTTCGCTGAATTCCCTCTGTCCGCCGATGGGCGTCCTAGCGGACCTGGATCCTCCGAGTGACCAACACTGTGCGACGCACAATCAGAAAGGGGAGCGGGGAGCCGAGTATATTGTAGGAGGAGGAGGAGGAGGAAGGTGGAGGAGGAGGAGGTGGAGGAGAAGGAGGAGGAGGAAGGTGGAGGAGGAGGAGGAGGACGAGGCCTACATTACCGACGACTGCAGGTCCAATACTCCATGCCCGCGTGGGCCCCGCGTGGGCCTCCAACTTTTCCACGCCTTCTTCGCACCGCCTCTTTCCGCCGCGTCTGGCACGGTGATCTCTCTTGCCCGATGTCACCGCACGCGCTCCGAGCTTCTTTGCAGAGGTGAGCGCAACAGCTGTACAGCTTATGTCCGATCAACGCAAAGAGGAGGAGGAGGAGGAGGAGGAGGAGGAGGAGGAGGAGGAGGAGGAGGAGTCCTTCACGACAGGCCTGCCCCTCCTCCTCCTCCTCCTCCTCCTCCTCCCTCCGACAGCTCAGGCGGGGCAGCGCGCGCAGGCGCAGGCGCAGGCCCCTCCCCGCTCGGCTCCACCTCGGCCTCCGTCGGCGAGGCGCCCTCGGCCCCGGCGGCTCCAGCCCTGCACTCCCTGAGCCCGCGGATGCTCGAGCGCAGCGCCTCGGCGCTGTGCTCTCCGCGAGCTGCGCGCCCCGCCCGGTTCCGGTTCCAGTTCCCGCTCCGTGGCGGCCGCCCTCCTCGCGCCCCCGCTCCTCGGTGCAGACGTGCCCACGAGAGCACGCAGTCCGTCCAGGCTTGCCCGCGCGGGAAGCCGTCCTGGCCGCATCGCCTTCGATGACGGGGGAGGCCATGTTCAGGGGCGTAAGAGGCCATGACAGTGATCCGTTCCAAGATTTCAAGGTTCCCATGGGTTCCCCATCCCTGCGCGGGCCGAAAGAGGCTCCTCTTGAGCCCGAGATGTCGGAAGCGCCGTGCCGTTCAAGTGAACGGATGTATGGTGCGCTCGTTTCGAATCGGGGCGTGCCACAAATTATGGGAGGCGATGCGGGACGTTGGCCGGGCCCGCCGTGGCGTTCGAATACCCATATGCGTGTGGTGGCCAGGCCCGTTGTGGCGCTCGAGCACCCACATGTTATGGGAGGAGTTAGGGGAGGTGGCTGGACCCGTTGTGGCGCTCGAGCTTCCGACCTTGACGCTTTACTTGTCTTCGTCCTCCTCCTCCTCCTCCCTCCTCCCCTTTCTCCTCCTCCTCCTCTTCCCGCCTCTTCCCTCCACCTCCCCTCCCCTTCCTCCTTCATTTGTCCTCCTATATCCCCCTCCCACCTCCGTCCCCTTCTCTCCTTCTCTCCTCTCCACCTGCCTCCTCCCTCCTCCCTTCTCTTCCCTGTAGGAAAACCCTTCCCCGTATAATCAGAGCATTGGTCTGCAGAGCCACAGCTCCGTAGATTGCATCATGCCTCACGTGCAGCGCCCCGTGGATCCAATTTCCTGTGAGCCCAGGAGACTAATTATTATGATGGACTCACCCATGGAAACTGAATGGACCCATTGGTTTGTCACACACGGGAAATTGGATCCGCGCAACAGAAATAGGATCCACGAAGCTGTCACACACCGAGATAAGGATCCAATTGGATCCACGGGTGTTGGCATATTCTTACTCCGAGAGGAAGAGCAATCGGCCTGGGGATGAAGCATGTGGCACACCTCCCGCACTTGCACGCAGGGGCGGCGGTGGCGGGGCGCAGTGGCCGCTCACTCTACCACGAGTGCCGCAGCGCGGAGCACCGAGGAGGACGATCTGCACTCTCGCCTCGCCGCCGGCCGCGCATGGCCACGTCGGGGCTTGGCCAACCGCTCTCCCTTCGGCTGTCGCGCGTTCGGCCCCGGCTCCCATCGGAAAACCTACATGTCTTGAATCGGTTCTCTGGCTTCCGGTTTTTGTTTTGCCTCGTTCGTGTTTTTTGTTTGTTGGCTGACTTTTGGCTCCGAGGCCCACTTTCAGAGCCAAACCGCCCGTCAGAACCACTTTTTGCTTGTGTCGCTTGTTCGGCCCTGGCTCTTCTTAGAAAAATAGTATGTTTTGAATCAGGCTTCCGGCTCCTTGTTATTCTCTGGCCTTTCGTGGGTTTTTGTTTTTGGCTGACCCAGGCTCAGAGGCCCACGTTTTGGAGCCAGACCGCCTGTCAGGGCTCTTTTGTTGCCTGTGTCGCTTGTTCGGCCCTGGCTCGTGTGGGGAAACCTATATGTTTTGAATCAGTTCTCCGGCTTCCGGTTTTTTGGCTAGTTGTTTTTAGTGGGGGCGTTGGCCCCGGCTACAACTGTTTTGGAGCCAGACCGCCCGTCAGGGCTATTTTTTGCTTGTGTCGCTTGTTCGGCCTGGGTTCGTATATGCTTTGAATCAGCTCTCCGGCTTCTTTCTTTTCACCTTGTCGTGTTTTTTGTTGGTGTTGATTTTGGCTCCGAGCTGCTTGTCAGCAGTGATGTTCACTGGCGATGTGGTTCCCACAGGCATCAGGGTGCTCACAGTCATCGTGGTGCTCAGGCGCTTTCAGGCGTTGGTCTGCAGAGCCACAGCTCCGTGGATAGCATCATGCCTCACGTGCAGTGCCCCGTGGATCCAGCTTCATGCGGGTCCACGAGATGAGTTATTAGAATAGACTTACCCCAGGAAAATCAATGGATCCATTGGTTTGCCCCACACGGGAAATTGGATCCGCGCCACACAAAGAAACTGCTATACACCGAGAAAGGGATCCAGTTGGATCCACAGGTGTTGTCCTATTTCTACCTCCAGAGGTGAAAAACAACTCGGCCTGGGGATGTGGTTCCTGATGTTCGCGCCCTCGCTGCGACAAAGCGGAACACGTCGGAGCGCGGCTTGCCCACTTGTTCAAGCAGCCGCTTCGAATGCTCCGCCGCCCGCCGGTGGCGCCGCGCTGCCTCGAGCGTGTTTTCTTCATTGCGTGGGGCATCATGGGCATTATAGCCCCCGGCCCCCCCTCCCCCCCCCCTTTATAACGTAGCGCCCCTCCCCCCCCAGTGCGCTCCGGGCACTGCCGCCGTGTGCACGGCGGGGGGGAGGCGTTACATTATACCCCCCCCTGGCCCCTCCCACCCACCCCCTTATAATGCCCATTATCGCCGAAAATTAAAGAACCGCGCTCGTGGCGCCGCGCCGTCTCCGCCCCGCGCGGCGCCCACCGCGTCGTCGCGGCTCTCCTCCGCCTCCCCGCCCGGGGCGCTACGCCGCGGCCCGCTGGTCGCAGAGGGCCTGCATCTCGCCCGTGGCCGGCCCCTCCTCGCAGGCCTCGGGGACCTCCAGCAGCTCCGCGTCCCCCTCGAGTCAGGAGTCGATATCGTTTCACCGATCCCCATCCGCATCCCCATCCCCTTCGAGAACCCCACCAAATTGCCACCCCAGCTGAGGATGCACCCCTCGAAAGTCGAAGGGAACGACCTGTATTCCCATCTGGGGGGGTAGATCGGCCAGTGGGGCCCAGGCCACGCCGCTGGGGATGGGGATCGGTTCAACGATACTCAAATCCTCGGGGACCTCCTACAGCTCCGCGTCCTTCTCGAGTCAGGAGGGGAAAAGACACGCAGACACAATTATTCACTGCGTGGAGCTCCCCATATGTGCATCTACTCGCATGGACCTGTCCGCCGTGAATGTCTAGGCGCAAGAGCTTTCGAATATTAACGGGCTTCAGTTGTGACGGTCTGGACATCAATCTAACTGCGAATGAATTGGAGTGTGAATGAGCCTCAGTAGTACGAGCGCGTCTCTGTGCATGAGCCTGGGGCCTCCTGGGGCCTCCTGAAACCTACTGGGGCTTCCTGGGGTCTCCAGGAGCCTCTTGGGACCTCCTGGGACCTCCTAGGAAGGTTTCGTGCCCCAGGAGAGGCGCAATCTATAGCAACAGACGTACATAAAACATTGCGGATTAGAGCCACAGGAGAAGGGCAATATATAGGAACACGCGTAAAACACCAAGGACTCGTGCCCCAGGAGAGGCCCAATACATAGGAACATGAGTAAAACATTTAGGATTGTGTACACAGGAGAAGGACCATCTATAGAAACATACGTAGAACATCAAAGAATCGTGCTCCAGGTGAGGCCCAATCGATAGGAGCATACGTAAAACACATGGGATTGGAGCCACTCCTGTTGCCTTCTGAGGCCTCCTGCTCCTGGGGCCTCTCGGGGCCTCCTGTTGCCTTCCGAGGCCTCCTGGCGCTTCCTGTTGCCTCCTGGGGCCTCCTGTGGTTTCCTGAGGCCTTCTGGAGCTTCCTGGGGCCTCCTGGAGCCTCTTGGGACATCCTGTGGCCTCTTGAGTCTTTCTGTGGCCTCCTGATGCCTCCTGGGACCTCATGTGGTCTCCTGGGGCCTCCTGGAGCCTGTTGGAGCCTCCTGTGGCATCCTGAGAAGAATCTGCGCCCACGAGCCTGGCCACCAAAACAAGCAAACCGATCGAGACATCCTCAAAATCTGGCCCACCTGGGGGGTGAAAATGAGCGCCTCGCTCGAGACATCCTCCAAATCTGCTCCGAAAGCGAAGGATGTTGGGCACAGAAACAAGCAAACCGCCTGAGACATCCCCACAAAATGGCCGCGAACGAGCCCGTGCAACCACCCCTGGCGGCTCCCCTTAGGGGTGCAATCGCTCGAGCTGCTCCGAAAGCGAAGGATGTTGGGCACAGAATCAGGCAAACCGCCTGAGACATCCCCACAAAATGGCCGCGAACGAGCCCGTGCAACCACCCCTGGCGGCTCCCCTTAGGGGTGCTGAAATGAGCGCCTCGCTCGAGACATCCTCCAAATCTGCTCCGAAAGCGAAGGATGTTGGGCACAGAAACAGGCAAACCGCCTGAGACATCCCCACAAAATGGCCGCGAACGAGCCCGTGCAACCACCCCTGGCGGCTCCCCTTAGGGGTGCTGAAACCAGCGCCCCGCCTGAGACATCCTCACAATCTGCTTGAGTAAGTCTGAGTATGAGTAAGTCTGTGTATGAGCAAGTCTGAGTATGAGTAAGCCCGACAGGAGGGGAGGAGAAAAGAGGAGGAGGAAGGAGGAGGAGTAGGAGGCGTCCAAGTAATAACAAGAACCCCATCTTAGGATATGGGGAATGAGTCGTCGATCCCGAGGAGAAGATGGGAAAATGATTATGGGAAGTGGGGGGGAAGACGAAAATACAGACAATATGAAAAAATGTAGGGAATCCTGGGATTTGTGTCCAGTTCTTTATGTGTCCCAGGGCCCCTTCATCGAGGTCGAGCGCCGACGGAGCAGCAGCCCGCTGAGGCTCAGGCTCTTGTCAGGCACCGCTGGTCGAGTACTCCTCCTAGGCCTTCTGGCGGGCGATGTTGGCGTCGAAGGCCTTCTCCAACAGCCGATCGCGCTTCTGCACCGTTATCGTACGGGTTTGGGCATTTTGCTGTACCTGCCCCTCCGCCTTGAGCAAGTCTTTCCTCCTCCTCCTCCTCCTCCTCCTCCTCCTCCTCCTCCTCCTCCTCCTCCTCCTCCTCCTCCTCCTCCTCCTCCTCTGCTGGAGGTGCTTCGCCTGGGTGAGCACCTGCAAGAAGTCCGTGGGCGGTGGCGGGGTCGGGGGCTCCGCCTGGTTGATCTGCACCGCCGCTGCACGCACCGCCTGGCCCATGGTCAGGTTGTGCGTCGCGATCTGCGCGAGAGCCAGCTTCTCCACGTCTTCACCGGACTTGGGGCCCCACTAACGCGACTCGGCAGACGCTTCTCGAGTGCAGTTCTGGTCGCCGCCCCACGGCCTTGGCATGCCGATGTAGCCGCCGCAGACGTCGCAGTAGCCCTTCCGCTTGCGCAGCTTGTCGTGGTAGCACCACTTGCCGCAGCCGCAGCACGTCTCACACGAATCCCGTCATGAACCATTGCGCCCCACCGCAAATGCTGGGATGAGCCAGGGAAAGCAGCCAGGCTCTTGGCCCAAGCAACGCGCAGCTCGACTGAGGTCGCACAAATCAGTTGTGGATCTGGCTTGGGGCTAGAGGTATCCACTCCGCACCCCAGGGGAACTTGTTACTTCGAGCCAAAGTGGCTACGGAGAGGAGGGAGTCGAGGAGGCGGAGGAGGAGGAGGAGGAGGAGGAGGAGGAGGAGGAGGAGGGGAGGGGAGGGGAGGAGAGGAGACAGGAGGGCAGGAGCGGAGGGAGCGGAGGTGAGAGGCGAGGCGAGGAGGGGGGACGGAGAGAGGGAGGGCAGGATCCAGACATTCGGCCAATCTGATCATTCCAGCCCGCAGCCGCAGAGGTCCCGACCCCCTCCCTGGGCCCAGTTTTCCGCCCCAGATCCGTTGTTGGTGGTTCCGAGGCCCAACAATGGCCACGGAGGGCCGAAATCGAGGAAATTAGTCGGGGGCCCCGAAACGGGGTGGTGACCACACCGTGTGGTGAGTCGGTGGGGATTCGAGGTCACCGCACGGTTTGGGACTCGGGTCGTTCTCCGAGGACGTCTCGGGCGATTGGGGCATCCGAGGTCCCAAAATCGTGCGTTGACGGGCCGTGCGGTGAGGTCTTGGGGGATTTCGAAGTCACCGCACGGTCTGTCACCGCACCGGTTCGGGACTCCAAAACTAGATGGGATCGGACAAACATGGTTGGAGATTTGGACAGGGAAGGGGGCGCGGGTCTGCCAAGGCAGGAAACCCAAGACTCATCATCGATGTTGCAATAGACCCTCCCTCCAAGCTCCCTCTTCATAGGCTCCGATACGGATCTATTTCCACTGCGGGAAGAGCCCCGTTGGAAGACAACCGTCAGAAAATCGTCAACCGTGCCGAAGCACCATTTCTGGGACATCAACGCCGCGAATCACCTTTACCGCCGCGACTTGACAATCCAAATTCGTACCAGAACACCATCTCTGGGGCGTCAACACTGCGAATCAACGTGACTGTCGCGCCTTGACAATCTTAAACCGTACCAGCACACCCTTTGCGGGACGTCAACCATAAGAATAGTTGGAATTGTTGCAAGTTGTTGCGACATTTGTGCGCGGCGCTGAGGCGAGAGCCACATGTTGAAAAGGAGCCGACCTCCATCCGTGAAGCTTTTGCTTTTTTTCATAATGAATGTGCACGGCGCTCATGCGAGAGCCGCATTTTGAAAACGACACACCATCCATACGTGAAACGGATGTTTCAGGATCATCAGTGGTGAGGAAGTCTCAGGCGAAACGCCCAGCCCGCCCTACCGACCCGTCTCGGGGTGCGATTTGGAGGAGTTATTTGCAAAGAAGAGGGATGGAGGAGGACGGGAGAAGGAGGAGCACTAGTGCAGACCCACGACTCATCAACCATAAACCCTCCCTCCAAGTTCCTTTTCCATAGGCTCCTATTCGGATCGATCTTCACTGCGTGAAGAGCCCCAGTGGAAGACAACCGTCAGAAAGTCTTCAACCGTGCCGAAGCAGGGACGTCAACACTGCGAATCAAAGTGACGGTCCCGCCCTGATAATCTTATATCGGACCGAAGCACCATTTGCGGGACGTCAACCATAAGAATATTTGGAATTGCTGCAAGCTGTTACGACGACTGTGCGCGGCGCTGAGGCGAGAGCCACATTTCGAAAAGGAGCCGCCCTCCGTCAGTGAAACTAAAGCGAGAGTCACACTTAATAATTGTCTGCCCTCCATCCGCGAAATTCTTGTAAACCTTTAGGACGAATGCGCGAGGCGTTAAGGCGAGAGCCGCATTTTGAAAACGACCCACCCTGCATTTGTGAAACTGCTGCAAGTGTCAGGCCTCAGGATCATAAGTGATGAGGAAATCTCAGGCGAAACGTCTGGCCCGCCCTACCGACCCGTCTCGAGGAGCGACAGGGACGAGTTATCTACAAGGAATAGGGACTTGGCATCGCTTGGACGTGTGCATTTTTTCTGGCGAGAAACCACGAGGACCATCCTGGACCATCGAGGAAAAAAAACACGCACGAAACCAACAAATGCACGGGAAGTGGACGTCCGAGCGACGGCAAGAGGGATGGAGGAGGACGGGGAGGAGCAGGAGTGAGAAAGGGGGGGGAAGGGCAGGACAGGGGACGGGAGGAGGGGGACGGAGAGAGGGAGGGAAGCAGGGAGGGAGGCGTGGGTCTACTTCTGCCAAGACAAGGGCGGCGCGGAGATCCGGAAGCTGCCCACCCACCAGGCGGGCTTGGGCACTGGGTACTCCTTGAAGCACAGGGAGCGCTGCGTCGCTGCGGAGAAGGCCGAAGGGCTCCCCCTCAGCGCACATGCCGACCTGGCCCCTCCCTCTCGCCCCTCCCTCTCGCCCCTCTCCTCCTCCTCCTCCTCCCTCCCATCCTCCTCTTGCTCCTCATCCTCCTCCTCATCATCATCATCATCCCTTTTTTCCTCCGTCCCTCTTCCTATGAATAGTTCCTCCCTGTCGTAGCCCGAGACGGGTCGGTAGGACGGGCCGGGCGTTTCCCTTGAGATTTCCTCACCACTTGTGGCTTTGAGCCTTGAAGTCTACAACAAATTCACGGATGGAGGGCGGGGCGTTCTCAAAATGTGGTTCTCGCTTCAGCGCCGCGCGATTCTGGTTCTTTCAATTGCAAGAGTTTTTACAGATGGAGGGCGGGTCGTTTTCAAGATGTGGGTCTCGCTTTAGCGCCGCGCACATTCGAATTCAAAGTTGGCAAGGGCTTCATGGATGGAGGGCGTGTCTTTTCAATTGGTGGCTCTCGCCTTAGCGCCGCGCGCATTCGTCTTTAAAATTTGCAAGAACTTCGCGGATGGAGATCGGGTCTTTTTCAACATGTGGTTCTCGTCTCAGTGCCGCGCGCATTCGTCTTAAAAGTTAGAGTTTCAGGGATCGATGGCGGTTCAGTCTGAGAGTGTGACTCTTGCCTCGGCGCCGCGCACAGTCGTCGCATCAGGTGTACAGCAGGTTCAAGGATTCTTATGGTTGACATCCCACACCTGGTGATTCGGTACGGTTTAGCGTTGCCATGGCGTGACAGTGACGTTGTTTCGCGGTGTTGACGTCCCAAAAATCGTGTTCTGGCACGATTCGGGATCGTCTGGTCGCAGCAGTAACTTTGATTCGTGGCGCTGAAATCCCAGGAATGGTGCTTTGGCACGGTTGGAGGTGTTCAGACGGTTGTCTTCCAGCGGTGCTATTCCCATAGTGAAGATAGATACTCATAGGAGGCCAAGAAGAGAGAATTTGGAGGGAGGGTGTATTGCAACATCGGTGTTGAGTCTTTAGTTTGTATTTGTCCTCCTCCTCCTCCTCCTCCTCGCCTCCTCAGCCCACTTGTCCTCCTCCTCCTACTCCTCCCGTCCTCTTCCCGTCCCCTTCTCCTCCACCTCAACATCATCATAGATCATCATCATCCGACGGGGGAGGAATGGCGATGAGAGGAAGACGGAGTGGGCAGATGCCAAGGGGTTCCGCAGAGGCCCCGAAAACCTCCAGAACGCATGGAAAGACGTCCAGAGAGCATGAGAAGCGTCAACCAATTTCCGTACCTAATGTCGAAATTTTCATGGTGGAGGTGTTCGACCAAACAACAAACGACGCCATCCCTCCTACGGCCCTCCATGTTGCGCTACGGCCCATCCGAGGCCGTGGCGCATACCACACAAGCCCGCCAGATTTCCTGGTATACGCGAAGCCTCCAGGGGCGGCATGTGGGGTGGTGTCGTTCGTTATCTGGTCCATGTGTGTAATGTTGTGAGTTCTTCCCTGAGGTAATTTTCACCAACGGCGACACCTTCCTGAAGATCCAACCCCCTGCGCACGAAGGGCGGGCGGCCTGGGGCCAGCTCCTCCTCCTCCTCCTCCTCTTCCTCCTCCTCCTCCTCCTCCTCCTCCTCCTCCTCCCCCTCCTCCTCCCCCTCCTCCTCCTCCTGCCCTTCCTCCCGTCATCCTCTCCGTCTCCCCCTCCTCTCCCTCTCATTATTCTCTCCATTCTCCCCGTTCTCATCCTCATTATGCCCCCATCCCGTACTTCTCATCTTCCCCCTCCCCCTACACACACTACTCCTCGTCCTTCCCCTCACTGTCCTTGTCCTCCTCCCCCGTCCTTCCTTCTTTCCCTCCTCCTCCTCCTCCGCCTTATCCTTGGTTTCCTCATCGTTATCATCATCACAGCCACTTTGGTTCAGGCGTTTTGCCAGAGGTGTGGCCACTCGCTCGCTCTTGTGCCCCGCTCTGCTCGACTTTTCCTTGCGTCCCATGGTCACTGCTGCACGGCTTGAGTGGGCGATCTCAGCGGACGCCGTGCCACTGTCAGGGTGCACAGCTGCGCGGACAGGATTATGGTCCATGTGCGCATGGTGACCCTTGCTGATAAGGCGTGTTCGCAACGGTCTGGCCATCGCCTCACCTTACGACATGGGCTGTATGTCATCGGGCCCGACTATGGCCGCCGGAACTCGCGCGACGAGTCCCACATCGGTTTCGTGATGCGGCCGGCTCCCTCTGCTCCACGTGGCCGTAGTGGTGCTGGTGCCGACCTCGGTGGAGGCCCTGGTATCCCGGTAGGAACCATCGTGGAGGTGCGGGCGCCGATCATCGTGGAGGCGCCCGTGCTGGTCATCATGGTGGTGCTGATCCTCGTGGAGGTTCCGTTCCCGGTGGGTGCGCCGTTCCTCATCGTGGCAATGCCGAGGCCGATCATGGGGCAGCTGCCGGTGCTCCTGGAGAGACCCGTGCTGGTCCTCCTAGAAGTGCCGATACCCAGGGAGGTGCGCGCGCTGACCCTCGTAAAGGTGCCAATCGCCGATCACAGTCGCGATGCTGTTCATCATGGAGGTCCCGATCTTCGGGAAGGTTCTGATCCTCATTAAGATGCTGGTGGAGATCCTTGTGGAGGTGCTGATTCTGATGGGGGGGGCGTTCTGCATCGTGGAGATGCTGAGCCTGATCAACGTGTACGTGCAGATCATCGTGGGGGTGCTGGTGTTGATCATTGTGGTGGTGCTGGTGCTGATCATCGTGGACGTGTTCGTGCTGAAATTTTGGCCGCTCCTTCTGGTCCTGATTGATCGTGCTGGTGCCGATTTTCGTTGAAGTGCCGACGACCGTGCCTACGCCGATCGGGGTGAAGGCACTGGACCTGACCATCGTGGAGATTACGTTCACCTCGCTGGTGCCGACCACCGTACTGGCGCTGGCGATTGGGCCGATCTTCGTGAAGGTGCTAGAGCCGTCCATCGGTGAGATGACGTTCCTGGTGCTGGTGCTGGCCATCGTGCTGGTGCCGACCACCGCGCTGGCGCTGGAGCTGGTGACGATCTTTGTGGGGATGCACCTGTCATCGTAGAGGTGCTGGTGCCGACCATCGCCCTGGGGGGCTTCGTACTGGTCATCAAAAGGGCGCCGATCACCGTGAATCGGAGGTGGGGGGCGAGATCGAAGTGTAACGGAGAGCCCCCGCTGGGAAGTCGGTTCCGGGTTCGGTTTCGTGTCGTGTGTGCGGGCGGTGCGAATTTGCGTGGGCGGGCGACAGGAATGACCCCGCTGTTGCCAGGGCGGGATCAAGCAAAGTGTCCGAATCTCCCCCGGTGGGCGGGCGGTGGCCGGGTTCTCCCGCCGTGGTGTCCCGTCGGTGTCCCGTTGGTGCTCCGTCGTTGTCCCGTCGCTGTCCCGTCGCTGTCCCGTCGGTGTCCCGTTGAGATCGACAGTGAGGTCGGGGATGGTGTTTCTTCTCGTGGAGGTGCCGGGGCTTCTGATACTCCTGTAGTGTCTGCACCCCAAAAGAACAAGAGAGCTTGTGGCGAGGACGGTGCGAACGTTTTTCGTAGCTTTGCAGTGGTTCGCGCTTCTTCTGCTGCCTCCTGCCGTGCATACAGTCAGTGCGGCGGTGACAACAAAGAATGTGTTGTCCCGTGACTTCGTGGAGCTTGTGTTACAGCTCGCTGATGCAGAAATGATTCTCGCTCTTCAAGGCTCGGTCAAAGTGCTCGTCATGCGCAAAGTATTGAGGGTTATTATCGGTTCAACCTAGTCTCAGCTGACGTATGTAAAGGTGTCAAACACAACCGGAGATGGTCTGGTGGAAAACCACCATCATTCTCATCATCATAATCAGTTCCGTCTCCATCAGTATCATCATCCACAACGTTCCTCTCGCACCGCGCCGCCACGCATGATCTTGCATCCACGCAGGACTGCGCATTGGATATCCGTTTCTTCGAGCGAATCGGGTACAGCGTAGACGGCGCGACCAACAGCATGGGCGAACTAAGCATACAAATTAGCATTGGGCCTGCTTATGTATGTGGCTCGGAACCCAAGCTTAGCAGGGAATGGTCATATCAGCTTGGTGCGCGAAGTATTTACAGAACAAGAAAAGCCGTGAGCAAGCTCCGAATACAAAGCTATTGGTTTTGGTAAGGGCGGGAATTGGGTAAGGAGCAGCGTGCGCAGAACCAGTGTAGCTTCGTCAACCAGTAAGAGCTTCTACGTATTTAACGGCGTAAGGCCTAGAGACTGTTCATGGAGAGCCTTACCATCCCAGTGGCCAGGAGTTCGACTTCTGGGGACCAGCACGATTGAGACAACACTGGGCTCCAGATACAACGCTTCAGAGAGCGCTCGAGTTCACAAAGCCAGATAATATTGCACGAGCGCGTGTTCTGAGTAGCCAAGGGTTTTGTTGTTGAAGCCAGAGACCGACAAATCGAGCTCGAAGGCTCACATATAAGAACAGGCGTTTACACGGCCGACGATCATGCGTTACGGGTGCGGTCTGAAAACGCACGTTGCCCACTCCAGTGCTGATGGCCCCGTCAGGGGCGCGTTCGAATTGTTCACCCGCCATTGCGGCCGAATATGGTCCGTTGAGGGGCTACTGCTTGGCATCGCGCACCAGGTCAAGCTTGCCCGCGTGGACGGCGAGTCTGGGTCGTCCCAGGTGCCACTGTTGCAGTGGAGCGCGTTTTGGTCACCACGTTTGTATGGTCATCCGCCAGTTGTGTCACTTGGCATCGCTTGAGGGGCACCTGAGATATCCCACAAATTTTGATGCTGTCGATTTGTCTTACTACAAATCGCATGGCGCGAATGTAACGAATGTTGTCCGCAGCCAGAAGCGTTCTCTTGGCAGCGGTCAGAAAAGCCGGTTCTCAACTACATGTGGTGGAACGCTTGATGCAGGATAGATGTGTTATAATGTTGCCGCATCTGCCGATTATATATTGCATGAACGTGTTGATACCGTAATGTCTCACGCTGTCAGTCTCCGCTTGCGGAGCCATGGGTTTCCATGGACTCCGCTACCGTATTTGATTTGACTTGACCAGGACGCGAAGGCGCCCAGCACGAGCCCGCGGTTGGCCCAGTTCAAGGGCTGGCCCACGGCTCCGCGCGGTGAGGGAAAGGTCGCGATTGCTCTTCTCGACCGCCCACGCGCAACAGTGTGGTTGAGATCCCCTTGGTCACCCTCTTGATCCTTGTTATCGTCCTCCCCCTTATCCTCCTCGTCGTCCTCATCCTCGTCATCCTCGTCCTTCTCCTCCTCCTCTGCCTTCCCTCCCTCTTCCTTGCCTCCCCCCTTTCCTCGTCATCCACCTCGCCCTCCCCCTCGTCGGCGCCGAAGGTGGGTGCCGCTCAACAACCAGGACAGGGGCCTGCAAGATGATGCCATCCGTCTGCCCATCCTCTCCTACCTCCTCCTACTCCTCCCCCTCCTCCATCCCAGCAAGTTTTTCCAGCACCCGCAGCTCGTGTTTGGCTTTCGATTCTGGCTGGCTCGGGCGGGCCTTCTCGCTCGCGCCGCTCTGGTGGTGCCTTGGGCCCGCCTTGCGTTTCGGCTCGGCCCTCGGGCCTTGGCTCGCTCGGGCCTTCGGCGCATGTGCAAGGACGGAGGGCAGTTCCTTTTTCAAGTTGTTGCCCTCACGTCAGCGCCGCGCAAGCTCGTGTTAAAAGCTTGCAACAAGTTTTTTGCCACAAGAAGAAGTCAGAGAAAGTCCGAAAAAAGTGTGCAACAAGTTTATGGCTCGTATGGCTGTAGTCCCAGGAGTGGTCTTCTGGCACGATCTACAGTTGACGTGGCGCAGCAGCTACGTTGCCTCGCGGTGCTGAAGTCGCAGGAAGGGTGTTCTAGGACGATTCAGGGTCATCAGGACGCAGCGGTCAAGTTGATTCGCAGCGATGAAATCCGAGGCTTCCAACGATGCACTTCAAGCAATGAAGAGGGAACTTGGAGGGAGGGTACATTGCAACATGGTAAATGCTTCTTGGGTTTACACTGGTCCGCCTCCTCCTCCTGCCTCTCTTCCTACTTCCCTCCCCCCGTACATCTCCCCCCATCCTCTTGCTCTTCCTCCTCCCTCCCTCCCCTCTTTTTCTTCCTCATACGGTTTTCCGTTCTCGCCAGGGTTGCTTGAATGGTGGTTCGCCGCCCCCCTCCTGTAGAACAGAACCCTCCTCCTCCTCCTCCTCCTCCTCCTCCTCCTCCTCCTCCTCCTCCTCGTCTCCTCACTCCGCTCTGGATTCGCCGAACTTTGCGTGGTTCTCTGGCTTAGAGTTTTTCCGGAAATGCACCCCAGACGATGCGAAACAGCAGGCCGGTAGTGTCCGTCTCAGAAAATTAAGGCGGACATGTCAGCAAAAGTATGGCGGACACAGCGACGGCAAAGTGGGGCGGCGATCGACCCCAAAGAAGCTCGGACAGTAGGGCGGATGTGTATGTTATATATATATATATACAACATACACATGCCTTATGTACTTACAACATCGCCCAAAAGTACGGCGGTTCTAGCGTCAGGGTCGACCCGTGGAGCAGATGGCGCCTGGCCCTCGGCGCCCCGGGGGGGGCGGAGGTGGACAGGCGTTCGCTGGGGGTCTGGGCGAGAGCCGCGGCCGGATCAGAGGTTCGCACGCAGCTACCCAGCAGCCGAGCGAACTCAGGATCTTCGTTGGCAGCTAACACATAACGCGACGTTGACTCTCTATCATCTCAGCATGGCTATCGGGAATCATCATCATCATGACCATCATCACCTCCAAGATACCCGGCAACTGGCTGCCGCGTGCCAGGGTGGTCCACGGCGAGGACAAAACGCAGCGCAGAGCGCCGAGCCGGCCCTGCAGCGAGGCCTCGCGGCGGCAGCGCGGGGGCAGCCGGCTCGGGCCGCGTCGGGCCCAGCGCGGTGCCCTGGTCGGCACCCAGCCTGAGCTGCTTTGATACGCCCGTTGTGAAACGCAACACGTGCCGTGTTCAAAACGTTCGCGTTAACACGCTGCGTGTTGGCTCAACGTGTTGGCCCGCGTTTGGGCGAACGTGTCGCGCCAGACCTATATTTTCAGTCTACGTGTTGAGCTCCGTGTCAACACGCTACGGCATGCGTGTTGCGCATCGGGGCGGCTAAGCACCCAGCTGCCGAAGGCCGGGGGGACGCGAGGAGCTGCGCCCCAGCACGACGGGGATCAGCCGCGCGACCCCCTTGGCGCACGGGCACGCTCGTGCACGCGGCCGGGATGGTGTCGCCGCTCTCGGCAGGCGCGGGCCCCCGTGGCGGCGGCAGCCAGCGGCGCCGTGTAGCGTGGGGGGCGGCAGGGGGGCGGACCTTGCGGCGGCGCGAACGGACGAGGCCCAGCTCGTGCCGCGAGAGGCACGCGCCGGACGGTCCGGGGTGGCAGGAGGCACGCGCCGGGCGGTCCGGGGTGGCAGCGACCCAGGCTGGCGCGCGGCTGTCCTGCTCGATGCCGTCTCTGGGGGCCAGTGCCATGGCGCCAACGTCGCAGAGCGGATCTCGTTCGGAAAGCGACAGGATGGGCCTGGATGGTCCTGAAGAATTTCGTTTCGGATTTCGAGGTGAATGTCGTGTGTGTGTTTTGGTTCAGGAATGGAGACCACAAAAAATCCACGTGAAATTCATGCCGTTTTTCGCTCAAGGTTTCGGGGTTTTGCATTGACAGAAACCCACGCAGAAATCCGCTGCAGCACGTCTGCAAGGTCGGTGCAGTGACCAGTGAGGGGTGGGCGCCCGCAGCCGCGTCGGCGAAGGGCCGCCGAGCGCAAAGGCTGGGTTCCACGCTGGACACAGTTTTGGGGGGATCTGGCGATGGCCGGGGTCATCGGTCCCGCCCGCTCCTTCCCCGCAAATGACCTGACCTTGAAGAGGGTACGCAGTGCTGGTGCGCGCGGGCACACGCGGGGTTGCCCAGAGCGAAATATTATGTTATCGGCCAGCACCTCCTCCCCAACACTGGATAACCTGGGCTACCGCCGAAAATCCGAAACTATCCTAAAGGATCTGGATCAGGGACGAGGGCGTCTCGCGATCTGGAATCGGCCAACATGGAACGATCTGGCGATCGGCAAGCCGCCGATCGTTTACGGTTGAACGATTCCCGCGGTGTCAGAAACCAACGCCGAAGTCGGCACGACACGAACTTGCCGTCAGGGACAATGGCGCCTCGCCACCGACACGGGCCGCGGCGGGACCCATGGCGCCCAGCGGTGGCGTCGGCCTCGACGGGCGACGCACGCCAGCCGACGGCGGTGCCGACCGACGACGGAAGACCGGCGGCGACGGTTGGCGACCGCGGCGGCGGGCGACGCAGGCAGGCGGTCACCACCCACCAAACCACCCCAACCCAACCCGAAGGCTTCAATTTCCCCTCCATTTCCAGTGGGGGGTAGGGGCCGGGGAACACCGAAAAAACACGCGGAAGAACCCGCCCCCCCCCCCCCTCCCGAGCCCGAAATTCGAGTCAAATTCGGGTCTTCGGGCTGGGCCGGGGCTGCCTGGCAGGTAGGCAGGCGGCGCCGACCGACGACGGAGGGCGCGCAGCGGCCCAGAGCGACGCTGCAGCCGAGGAGCGCGGCGCCGAAGCGCGGCGCGGGGCGCGAGGCGCGGCCGCGCGAGGCGCGGCGCGAGGAGGCCGTGCGTCGAGCACGATGGGTTCGTGCGGCGTCGGCGCGCGCAAAGGTTTTTGACACCGCGTCGATCGTTTCAACCTTGAGTCGATCGCGGCCCCCATCGTTCAAGGTCGAGTACGCGCTGAACTCCGTATCAATGCGCTACGTGCTGCGTGTTGCGTATCGGGGCAGCAAAGGTGGCGAAGCGTCCTGGTTTGTTTATAGGCCCACCAAAGAATGTTATTATAACCTTTTAGTGCTTTGCACGAGTATGTTCTCTGAACATTTCTGGCTGGGGCTGTGTCTTGTTTAGACACATCGGGCTTGTATGTTATAAAACATTTGTTGTTATGAGAGCATCTCTGGGTTCTAAGAACATGTCGTGGTAGGCCTATAGGAATGCCAGGACGGTCGGTCCCTGCTCAAGTAGGGGGTCGGCTACAGAATCGGTGTACCCCAAAATTAATTTCCCGCCGAATATACGAAAACTACCTACAATATTCCGTAGATCTACTGACTAGTCTGCGCATTTTCTCGTGGGTTCGACGAGGAAATCGACTTTGAAATACATCGATTGTGTTTTCGAACCCCTACTCGCCGTATTATGTAGTCGATTCTGCACGCGATTTACCCCAAAGTTTTTTCTCGTCGAGCCCACGGGAAGATGGGTATAATAGTCAGTAGATCTACGGAGCTCTGTGGGCATGCTTCGCAGATCTGGCGGCACATCCATTCCGGGGCAGAGCAGCCCGCAGATCTGCGGAGCACTGTGGGCACGCTTCGTAGATGCCATGTGGCATCCATTTTGGGGCAGATCGACTCCGCAGTCGGTCCCCCACTCGAGCGCGGCTTGGGCCGCGCGGGGGCCCTTCGACTGCCCGAGGGCGGAGGCCGTGCTGGCGGCACGCGGCGGCGAGTAGGCCACGCGGCTGCCCGAGGGCGGGGGCCACGCGGCGCGGGCGTCGTCGTCGTCGTCGTCGTCGTCGTCGTCGTCGTCGTCGTCGTCGTCGTCGTCGTCGTCGTCGTCGTCGTCGGGGCGGGCCCCAGCAAGGGGTCCGAGGGCATCACATTCATAGTCATCATCATCACCACCATCAGCAGCAGCATTAGCATCGTCATCACCACCACCACCATAATCGCAAGTCTCCGATTCCTCCTCTAATTACCATTACCGCCGCTCCTCCCCCTCCCCCTCCCCCCTCCTCCATCCTCTCCGCCCAGCGCTCCCCCGGCAGCGGCGGCGGCGGCGGAGGGTGGGCAAGGAGGAAGAGAGGATGAGAGGGAATACACATAAGACGAAGACAACGAACTGGGATACGAATCATACATTGGATCGGAATATGAAAAGTCGAGTCATGAGAACAATAATAAGAAGAAACATAAACATAGTAAGCAGAATAATCAGAAGAGGAGGAGGAGGGGGAGGGGAGGGAAGGAGGAGAAGGAGGGCCACGAAGAGTTGAGGAGGATGCAGAACGATTGACCGTTCCGCGGCCAATAGCAACAGTATCGGGAGAGGAGGTCTCAGAGAAGGGGGAGCAGGTAGAGGAGCAGGAGGAGGAAGAGGAGGAAGAGGAGGAATCTGAGAAGGAGGAGGGGGAGGCGGAGGGGGAGGTGTGGCAGGAAGAGGAAGACGAGGAGGAGAAGGGAGGAAGAGGAAGAGGAGGAGGACCCCCCCCCGTCCAGGACGGGACCAGCAAAATGAAGGCCCTCCAGAGGGCCCCCGCCGATGGCAAGAGGCCGCCGGGCGGCGCCGCGGGCCCGCAGCTGGCGCGCCAGCCCCCGCAGCCCATGGGCTCGAGGCCCTGTGGCAGCCGTCGTCGTCCTGCGTCGACGACCGCCGTCGTCGACGCCGCGCTCTTTCGCACGGGGGTGGTGGAGAAGGGGGAGGAGGAGGAGGAGGAGGAGGAGGAGGAGCAGGAGCAGGAGCAGGAGCAGGAGCAGGAGCAGGAGGAGCAGGAGGAGCAGGAGGAACAGGAGGAGCGGGAGGAGGAGGAGGAAGAGGAGGAGGAGGATGCGTGCTGGCTCCGAGTGACCGCGCCGACGTAGGGTCACTGCGTGGAGACGCTGCTGGAAAGGGGAACCGACCGAGCCACTTGACTCGCCCCACCTTTCCAGCGCCACCTCGGAGCACGAGCAAGCACCGGGCGGGCGGGACAGGGGTGCGAAAGGCGGCGGCCGCAAGCGGCCACCCTTTGCCGCGCGGGCTGGTGCACTCGGCCAACCACCCACGAGGCGAGCCCGGCACAGTGCTGTTTTTATTCCATGCTCCGCGTGCGGATCATGTATTGAAAATGCAGGGATTTAGCATTAAAAACAACGATGAGTTCACGCATGAATTGATTCATAAATTAACCATTATTAAAATCCCATGTTTTTAGGAAAAAAACATGTATTAAAAACTGCCCTGCATTTACTGCTCCGCCCCGGCGCCCAGGCGGCACCACGCACGCGCACGGCAGAAATCCGCCCGGTTCCCTGCAGAGCCCGGGGGCCGAGGCGACCGGACGCTCCAGTCCCCCTTCTTCCGGCCCCGGGGGGCCCCCCCGTCGCCACGGCTGGGCCCGCCCTCCCTGGAGAGGCTTGGTCGGGGGTGGACAGACCTCCTACCCTGACACGTCGGTAAAAGAATTGGCCGTTTTCGGTCCGCGAGAGGGCGTTGCGGCCGTCATTTTTGCGGGTCCAGGTCCGTCGGTTTCGGTCCCAGGCCGCTTTCACTAAGGGGAGGTTTGCTAAAGGGAGGTTTGTCCAACGCCGGCACGGGGGGCGACGCGCGAGAGGCGATCCGCTGCCCGAGCGGGCCTCAGGTGTGAAGCCACCGACTCCACGAAGCCACGAAGCCACCACCTGGGCAACCGATAGCCAGCTAGATCCTCCTGCTCCAAAGCCCTACGGGCTTCGGGATCATCAGGCGGGGGGGGGGGAGGGAGAGGGGGCAGGGAGGGAGGGAGGGAGAACCGATAGTTAACATTTACTCCAGCCTGCGTTGTATTATCACCCCTCTGCCCGCCGCTGCGGGCGTTGGGTTCAAGTAACCTTGCGCATTCCACAGCCCAAAGGAGGTGGTAGACGAGCCTGACTGTGGAGCGTGGGCCTGTCTTCGCAAGTGATGAAAACATCTTTAACAGTCACTCCTGCCTGCGTCATAGCAACACTCATCTGGCCGCCGACGCGGGCATTTGGCTCAATATACCTTTTGCGCTTCAAAGGATGCGATGAGCGAGCCTGACTATTGAACGCTGGCCGCGTCGCGCACGTGGTTTATATATATATATATATGTACACACATACATACATACATACCTATATATTTAAAGAATGATATCATTCTCGCCTGCGTGCGTCATATTATCACCCATCTGCCCGCCGCTGCGGGCATTTGGTTCAAGCAACATTTTGCGCCCTAAGCGTGATAGGCGAAGTTGACGGTGGATCGCTGGCCGCTTCTCGCAGGTGGTACAAAAGATTGCGGCCTTGTTTTCGAACGACACGAATGGACATACGCATCATGCACAAAGTCCTGCCGAAGAGACCCCTGAGTTGGGAGAGTATGGAGAAGGCACATCACACCGATTGGGCTGCGATGTAGAGAATGTGGAACATCTGGCCAAAATTGGCCATCAGCCGAAATAGGCTCCGAATGCGCTGACTTGTTGCGGAGCAACAGTTCCCACCTGAAAGCTCAGAGAAGTTGAAAGGAAACATGATGAATTCTCATACGTCCAGTCAGATGAGGGCTTCCATCACAGCGGCAATGCGGCTGGCAGCGGGGGCGCAAGACCGACAATAATTTCAACGACGTCGTAAATATGATCATCCAGCAGTCGATTGTTGGCAAGCCCAATCAGAGTTTTACTCTTGAGGAAGAAAGAAGTAATTCAGATTTGGACCCACCGTGAACGAGGGTCCCCGACATGGCACGACCACGAATCACGGGGGACTTGAATTTCCCGATCATTGCCAAGAGAACTGAGAAGGAACATGACGACGACCACGTCTCTCCCAGAAAGAAAGTGCGACCGTGCAACAGCGCATCCTGGCGACGCGTGGACGGACCGGGGGGAGCAGTTCACAGCACACGGCCTCAACTTCCCCGACGGAGGCCCGTCCGGGATCGATTCTCCAAATCCGCGCGTTTAAAAAAATGGAAACGGTGAGGACATAGTCGATAAAATCCGAATCGCCGTTGGCGACGGCCATGAACCCTCACCCCGCGCGAAACAATATGACGATTATGCAGAGGCCTTCTGGCAGGCTCTTGGCCAACCCCATAATTGCCCACGCGATGGAGATGGCTTTGGCCTTCAGCATGTCCGGCCCCCGCCAAGCGCGGAAGGGTCCATGGGAAAAACAAAGAGCCATCGAGAGATTGCTCTGGGTCCCGCGCCGAGTGCGCTTCCCGACTCAGTCCAATTCGGTCAGCTTCCCGTCATCGACGGCACAAGGGGCAGCGTTTGGAGGGAAGGCCCCCAGCATTCTGGATAAATGCGGCAGAGTGACGTGACTGATGGGCTCGCAGGCGCGGCAAAGAAACACCGGCTGGCGCCGTCGAAGTCGCCAGAGTTCGAGGGCAACCAACCGTCAGCCGCCCCCACCCGCAGGGGGAGATCCGTTCAGCTAGATCTCGGCAGGAAGCCAGAGAGGGATACTCCGACGACTCCGATCAGAAAGCTATGGCAGAAAAGGAACCTGCCGAGCACTTCGCTGAGGAGCTCCGATAAGGCCCCGTCGCCCCGAGCCTGGGGCGACCGGCGCGATGCGACGCGCGCGAGGCCAAGACCTCGCGCGCCCGCCCGGTCGAGCGCTTCGAGCGCACGCATGGCTTCTGTGCAGGAAGCCTGCTAGCAGCCCGCGCCTCGACGCGGGAATGCGGCGGAATCTCGAAGGGCTGCGCCGGGCCCGCGCGCCGGGGGTTCTCGCGCGCGCGCGCGCGCCAGGGATGCAGCGTTAATTTTCTGCGCGGTGGGTGCGATCTCCTGGTCAATCACAACTGCCTTGGCAATCTTCTGCAATGCGGATGTCTGAATCGACGGCAGAGAGCCGAGAACTCCGCGCGCGCGAGTTGGGGGCAACCAGCGCTGAGGCCGCCGAGACGGCTCGGATGAAAGCTGGGCAAGAGGTCGTAGAGAGGGGGATTCAGGCATAAGTTGAGCACGCCAGGGCCGAGGCCAACAGGGATTAGGAGATGAAGCGCACGATGGAGCAGCAGCGGCGCGCCCCAGCGCGCAGCGCCTCTGCTCGCGACTGGGGCGAAGCCGAGAGGGCCGCCCGACCTGTCGAAATCACGCGAGCAAGACCAGGGCCGAACGGCCCACTTCGATCGGGAGTCGCGAGGCTCGCGCCGCGAAGTTCGAGACTGAGACGACGACTCAGATCCAGACGGACGAAATAATCGCCATGGACTGGATAAACAAGACAAGGACACGGCCGAAATAGTGCCGACTGCCAGTCTGCAAGACCAGCCGTCGATGACAGACAGCGCGAGCTTCCCCCGTCAGGCAGCAACGTCGACCGCGGGGAACCATGCCGGCACCAGAACCGCCTCCTCTGGGGGCGGACAAGCAACGGAAACAGCCGATGGCGGCGCCGTTCCTTGCAATCTGCGCCCGCAGCCCCAGCGCACCGACTGTCGCCGCTGCGACAAGCCGCGCCGCGAAGGCCATTTCAACCGCGCGGCTGCGCGATGTCTACCCTGCGCCGATAAGAAGGTTAGTGAAGGGCTCGCAACGGCGCGCCGCGTCAAGGTAGCCGAAGAGGAACAGAGAGGGCGACCGGCGTCGCAGGTCCGAGCAAGACGCGCGCGCGGCAGCTGAAAGTTACGCGACGAAGGAGCACGACTTGTCGACCCGAGTGGAAGTCCTCGAGACGAGGCGCCACGCGGTGAGAAGGAAATTCAACGAGCGAGAGAAACAACTTCGAGGCGGCGGCCCGCGCGGCCGAGGCTACGGTGGCCAAGGACGGAGAAGAGACAGCAGAGAGGGTCGCCGAGCGCAAAGAAAAATTGACGCGCAGCACGCGGCAAGCCTCGAGGCTGGCTGGCTGAGGATGGGCGCGGGAACATCGACTCCGAACTTCGATCGCTGGGAAAGAATAGGGGGGGCGCCCTTACTTGGAGGACCGATGCCGCCGAGTCCGAAGCATTCGTCTCTGAGCTGCCCGAAGTCTACCTGTTCGGAGAGCAAGAGAAAGATGCGCGCGAACCGTCTGAGGGGGGTGGCCCAGCGAAGCCCGCCGAATCTTCGCGACCCGCGGCGGGGGGCGGCGGGCCAGGAGGAGGCCCCCAGCCCGGGCGACGGCGACGGGGGAGGGGGCGATGACGACCCCGATTCCGACCCAGTTGAGCCAGCGGTCGGTCCTCTCAGTCTGGGGCGAGCGCAGCGCCAGAAGAATCCGGGACCAGGTGGGCCTGGCGGCCCCGATGGAAGCGGCGGGCTCGATGGAGGTGGCCCAGGAGGTGGTTCTGGCCCCCCAATGGGGACTTGGTCCCCCCAGCGGCAATGGGCCCCCGGGCACTGGGCATGCGCGGCATGGCCAGCGCGATTGCAACGGTTCAGCCGGTGTTATCAGCATCGGCGGCATCGGACCCGCGGCTAGGGTCGGCGACCATTGAGACGGCAGCCCGGCAAATCTTCACTCCCCAACCGATGCCAGTGGGTCCGACGCTGCAACGCATTTCAAAAACATAGGGACATTCGGAAATGGCGACCATCAGAAGAATCGGGGAGGCCCCAGGACCGGCGAGACCACGAAGCGCCGCGAGCGCGGAAGCGATGATCATTGTGGACGGAATCCCCCCAGGCTG